GTTTTGCATTACTGTAACACTGAGAAATCCACTACTGACAGTCAGTTAAACGCAGAAAATGTGTGACAAACCATTCACAACAAGCCTATGCTCTAATTTGGATAAGGCTCCCTATCACAGCAAGTGTGGCCATTTTAATTTTTATATTCTTAAAACCTCTACATGCTATTTTTTATTTATGGGTTTTAAAGATTAATAGTCCCCTTCCCACTCTCCAAAACACGGTCCTCTCACTCTACATAACATTTCCAGGACTAACAGCAATAATAACCATTCTCACCAATGGCCAAAAGCAGCCCCAGAAGAAAATCAAACGAGTTGGTTCTTTGTTTCTGGATGTTGCCTTTGATGTTCAAGCTGCAACTCTTCCTCTTAGCCAAGACAGACTTGATACCCTTGACTGACTGGCATGAGTAACACTGCAACAGACATTCTGCAGATCACATCAAACAGCTGTGCAGACTGCCTGCACTCACAACATGTCTGCTGATATTATTTTTATTTTTGTTTTATGTGATTATAATGTCTCAGTGCCTGATCCTGGATCAGAAACACCATGTGACAACATTCCCCTCTTCTTCTTCTTCCATTCTCTTTTCTCCCAGACTGTTTGAAATCATGTCTCAGAGGCCAGGGAATGGTTGGTTGGGAACATAACAGGCACCTGGCAACTCCTGAGAAGATTATCTGCCAAACCCCCTTTTTGGCTCAGGCTTGTAACCCAACAGTCAAACATTAGGCACAGACTCACTGAGTAAGACAGATTTTTGCACAACTTCCAGGACAAAACCCTCAGCTACACAGTCAAGCCTACAGTCCTACACTCAGTGTCCCAGACAGCAGGTTTATTGACGAGACTGTTTTTTTCAGCTTTACCCTTTCCAAAACCTTGCTGAATCCTACGAACAGTCATATGGTAAATCTAACAGTGCGGATCTTCAGCATGAATAAAAACGAGCACCTGTTGAGCTTGGTACGGATGTGAGAGTACTCAAGGGATGAGGACTTCAGTGAGGATGGCTGAAACAGCACTTCACACGTGCAGGGGAGAGACAGGCATCACTCTGAACTTCTGAAATACCAAAGGAAACAACCTCTTCTAGCTGACTGTGGGACAAAGAGGAGCAATGAGGTTCCTGCAGTGCCTCCCAGCAGGTTGAACACACCCAGAATCAAGCCATCTTTCCCTTTCCTGTTACTACCTGAAAAGAGGGAAGATGGTTCATTTCCTGCCAAAGCAGACACAGGTCACAAACTCAAAGAAAGAAGACAGACAGGCAGGCATTAAAAAAAAAAAAAAGGTCTGGAATTTAGATAGTGAAAAGCAAGGAATTCAGAACCATTGCAGTGACCTGACCTAGGAAGTATTGTATGTGGCAGACTGCAAACAAGACCAGCAGTGTACAGAAGGGTCACTGACTCCAGAGACAGCACTTCCATCCAAAAGCTAGTGGGTAACCTTTTGCAACAACAACAAAAAAAACCTTTTCTACTTTTTTTTTTTTTTAAAAAAAAAGAATTATAGACACTGACAACAGCCAGATTAAACCAGCAGCAAACCAGCCAAGATCTTCATTTTTCTCAAAAACAATATCCTCAGCTTCACTAAATCAAATCATGCCATACCTATATTTTTTTTTTTTTTGCTTTAACACAAAATAGACATTTT